GAGTATTTAATTTAATGGACTGATTCACCATTTCAGTTACTTTTTTTCTTTAAAGATTTGTATATATAGTTATTTGAAGAGTAGAATGAGACAGAAGCAGAGAGAGAGGAAGAGAACTTCCACCCACTGGTTCCCTCCCTAAGTGGCCACAACAGCTGGGAGTGCTCCAGGCCAAAGCCAGAAGCCTGGAGCTCCATCCAGATCTCTCACATGGGTGGCAGGGACCCAAGTACTTGGCCCATCTTCCACTGCTTTCCCCGGTGCTTTAGCAGGGAGCTGAATTGGAAGCAAAGTAGGCAGGACTCCAACTGTTGCTCTGATAAGGTTGCAGATGCTAGCTTGCTGCACCACAACACTACCTCCTTCCCCCAGCCCCGCCTCATTTCATTTACTTATTCATTCAGTGTCCTGAGCATATTTATGGAAAGGAGCAAAGAGGAAACATTTAAAAGTTGACCAAGAAACTAACTAGCACAAACACCCGGGAAAAGCAGCACAATTCACCTGATACTGAAAGAAGTAAGCTGGAACTGGGCACTTGTGCAAGTGGGTCACTGGATGTAGTAACAGCTGTCACTCACTCAGTAGCTCAGGTTGATTCTGTCAGTGAAAGGCAGGATCATTGACTGGGCACAGAATGTACAACTGCACCCAAATACTGAACTGTGTCATGCAGCCCATCGATAAACTTGGGGTTCCCCCCCCCGATTTTACTTGAAAGGCAAAGACACATACAGAGAGACAGACAGTTGGAGAAAGATCTTCCATCTGCTGGTTCACTCCCCAAACGCCTACAACAGCCAAGGTTGGGCCAGGCTAAAGCCAAGGAGCCTAGAATTCCACCCAGATCTCCCACCTGAGTGGGCAGGGACCCAATTACTTGAGCCCTCATTTTCTATCTCCCAGGTGTGCATTAGTAGGAAGCTGGAACAGAAGCCAAGTAGCCAGGACACCAAACCAGGCATTCTGATGTAGGACTCAGGAATCCCAAGTGGTGACTTAACCACCGTGCCACAGGCCCGTGGGTGGTTTTCTTCAACTGTACTTGATCCTCTGCTCACGTTTTCTTTGAAATTGTTCCTAAACTTTGCTGATTCTACCTCCAAAAAGTAAAATAGCATGTGTTTCATAAATAGAACATTCTATGTTGCACTGATCTTTGGAATTCCAAAGAGAGCATTGGCCTGCTTCCCTCTGCACTCCATTCATCTGGTTTTCCAGTCAACAGGAGAAGGCATAGATAGAAAGATGGATTGCGTGTGCATGTACATATGTCACGCTCTTTAGTGGTGATGACATCTGTAGAACTATCAAAAAATCTTCCAAGGTTGTAGAATGAAAAATTTGAAAACTGCAGAAATTTTACTTAGTGCATACTTTCTTTAATCCAAATAGCTTTTTGTGCCAACATTTTTGTGTTAATTTTACCTAGATAACCACGAGTCCTTGACCCTCATTGCAATTCTCAGCTGAACCTCATTCAAGAGTGAACTGATTTAAAACAGGAGGCAACAGAGCAAGAAGCCACTGGCTTTCAGGCTTCAGTCTTCAGGACATCTCTGCCAAACTCTGGAAATCATCTTGCAAGTAGAGGCAAAATTGGCCAGCTCATAACTCCTTGTTTTCTCAGAGGTGGCAAGGCAAAGAGGATGAGGGACAGAAATAAAGCTTAGAAAATAAAAATCTAATTATATTTTAAGTTACATCAACTGGTAGAAAGTTATTTCAGGTAAACACAAACCACACACACACATACACACCCATAACTTTTGTTATTTATTTATTCATTTGAAAAGCAGAGTGACATAGAAAGACATTGATCTTCCATCCACTTGTTCACTTCTCAATGTCTGGAAACAGCTGGGCCTGGGCCAGGCCAAAGCCAGGAACTGAGAATTCACAGGGTCTCCCACATGCATGGCAGGGACCTGAGTACTTAAGCCATCATCAGCTGCCTGTCAGGTGCATTAGCAGGAAGCTGGATTGGAAGTGAAGACAGGACTCAATTCCAGCACTTTGATATGGGATGCAGATGTCCCAAGCAGCAACTTAACCCACTGCACCACAATGCTTGCCCCCCATTTCAGATATTCTTGAATGAATTAAAAAGCTCCGTAATAACCAATATTCAACTTGACTGCTTCAATGTTTATTTTGTTTGTTAATAGAGTTATCCTTGTGATAGTCTTAACATTTTTCCCAGTATCTTTACCAAAACACTCAAATCCTATACTGCAATTTTAATATACACAGGCATCAGATCCTTAGAAGTCTCCGGAGTTTGCCTGAATCTCACACCCAGGAAGCTGATTGGTGACCTCGAGGAGATGTACAGGAGCCCTGTGCTTTAGTAAACAGCTTATAAGGTGGTTGTGGGAGCAGGCGCTGTGGCACAGTGAGTTAATACCCTGCTTGGGACACTTATATCCCATATCAGAGAGCCTAGGTTCATGTCCCTGCTACTCTGCTTCCAATCCAGCTTCTTGCTAATGTGCATACTGGGATATGGGGCACCTGGATGGAGTTCCTGGCTCCTGGCTTTAGCCGGGCCCAGTCCTAGCTATTGCGGGCATTTGGGGAGTGACAGATCTCTCTCTCTAACCCTCACTTTGCTGCTCTGCCTTTCAACCAAATAAAAATAAGTAAATAAGCATTGTAAGTAGTTGTGCAGTGTTTTGGTCTCCAGATTAAACTCAGTGACACTCCTGACTCCCTAGAAAATATAAATGCCCAACATCTTGAAGCACATCCAAGAACGTGTTCAGAATAAGGGCAAAGGGCAGAGATACCAGGTTACACAAGAAGATTTGAAAGGACAAAACTATTTAATCCAGAACATATGGCAAGATGAGAGATGTGTACGTCAGCAGATGTTAAAATGCAGGGGAGATATGCCAGTTCAAAATATCCTAAGGAAAAAGTAGGTATGTTGGTTCAGGTAACAAAGTCCAATCAAGGATCCTGGATTTGGGCACGGCTGGTACCAGGAGCTTAAACTGTGGCATCAGACTTGGGCTTTCTTCTACCATCTCTGGCTGTCCCCTCCATGCTGACTTCCTCCTCAGCCAGCTTCTACTCTTCTAGAACCCTTGTGTGCAAAGAGAACTTCCAACATTTCCAACCAAAGTCCTGACTCAGTGCTTCTTATTGGCTCCACTTTGGCCAAATCCCCACCCACCTCTACCCCTGGAGACCACACGATTCTTCAAGGAAAACTTAGGTGCTGTTCTCACCAGAACCGGAGTGAATACCAGGCAGGCAAACACAACAAAAGCCCCACACCACCTTCAGACGTGGGGTGAGCTCTCATGTGGACAAGCTGACCGGTTTCTGTGGGGTTCCAGAAATGAGAAGTAGACCTCCCACTGAATGAACCTTACAGGGAAACAGATTTCAGCTGTCTCCCAAAAAGAACCCTTCCGCAGAACCGTTAGTAGTTGAAACAGGCTGCCTCAGGATGTGCCAAGTACCAGGTCCTACCACATGTTCAGGTAGAGGCCAAACACATGGGCCGCTGTCAGGGAATTCCTCTGATAAGTGGAGCTTTGACTATACGACTCGGAAGGTCACTTTTTGACTCTACAATTATATTATCTTTGTTAATTTCCACAATTCAATTTGCAGTACAGGATAAACAAACCAACCTAATTAGATCTGGAACTTCTGCAGGCTATCACAGGTCACGTAATGTAAAACACATGGCTTTAGCCATTATGTTTTCTGAAGTCACCCAGCAGACCTTGTCCTTAACAAGGTCTCCATGTTATTAGTTTTCCTCATGGCTTTCCCAGCCTCCTACTTATCACACAATTGCTTTTCGTTCTCCTTTAGATTGAGGTGGTGGGAGAATGAAGGAGCCTTCTCCTTTCTGCCTTTCTCCTCTTAAATCTTAACAACAGGTGGATCCTTGTTGAAATGACCTTGCTGGGGCTGGCGCAGTGGCTCACTAGGTTAATCCTCCGCCTGCGGGGCCAGCATCCCATATGGGCACCGGGTTCTGGTCCTGGTTGCTCCTCTTCTGGTCCAGCTCTCTGCTGTGGCCCAGGGAAGGCAGTGGAGGATGGCCCAAGTGCTTGGGCCCCTGCACCCGCATGGGAGACAAGGAGGAAGCACCACGCTCCTGGCTTCGGATCGGCATAGCTCCAGCCGTTGCAGCCATTTGGGGAGTGAACTAACAGAAGGAAGACCCTTCTCCCTATCCCTCTCTCTCACTGTCTGTAACTCTGTCAAATACATAAATAAATGACCTTGCTTATACCTTTACCTTTAAGCGTAGCTTTCAGTTTGTTGTTGAAAAGTCTGCGCAAAACGAAAGAGAGAGCCACAGATCACAGCTCTGGACAAAGTCTGCGAAAGCAAGTTTTCAAAGATGGAAGCATGAGATTTTTTTTTTTAAGATTTATTTATTTATTGGTAAGTCAGACTTACACAGCAAGAGGCAGAGAGAGGTCTTTCATCCGCTGGTTCACTCCCCTGTTGGCCACAACAGCCGGAGCTGTGCCGATCCAGGAGTTTCTTTTGGGTCTCCCACGCGGGTGCAGAAACCCAAGCACTTGGGCCATCGTCTACTGCTTTCCCAGGCCATAGCAGAGAGTTGGATTGGAAGTAGAGCAGCCAGGACTTGAACTGGCTCCCATATGGGATGCTGGCACTGCAGGAGGCGGCTTTACCCACTATGCCACAGTGCCAGCACTGAGATTTTTTTAATTTGCTATTAAAATTGAACATAAATTAATTTAATATGCTGAAACATTGTTAGAATTACAGGACAAAAACTACTTGAACCTAATGAAGAAATAGATGCATTTCTGTTAAAATACCAAACTTTAACAAATGGTGAATAGATTCCAATAGAGGATATTCTTTCACAGCCGAAAGCATCCCCAGCACACACACCCACTGCTGAAACTGGAACTGCCGAGTCACAGAATACAGCCCACAAATAACACTTTGTGTGGGCTGTCCATCCTTAACAATGAACGATGTTTTTTCTTTTTCAGTGAACGTGGTGTCAATGCTACAGGAATTTTGGGAAAGCAAGCAGCAGCAGGGGGCTGCATTTCCAAGTGAAGGCGTGGTGGTCTATGAGTCTTTGCCGTCTTCTGGGCCTCCCTTTGTGAGTTATGTGACCCTCCCAGGGGGGAGTTGCTTTGGCAATTTTCAGGTAAGAAGCAGCCATCAATTTGTCAGTGGAAGCTACTTGGGGAAAAATAGAGTAAACCCTTTCGTAAACTGGTCGTATTCTAAGTTTTCTTAGATTTAGTGAAAAAACTTGTGCCGGCTTCTATTACATATCCTGGATATTTGGCCAATTGTGCCAATTTTCTTAGATGGAAGTGTTTTATATTAAGATGTACCCTGATATTTCTTTTTGGGAAATGGATTTTATTTCACATCATTTTAGTTTCCAGACAGCTGTTGTCCTTTCCTACAAAGTATTCTGGGATAAAATTTAAATAACAACAGGACAGTGGCAAGGCCCTTCAGTCAGAGTCCTTCCAATGGTAGAAAGTCTCCACTCTGATAAACTTTGTAATCAAATATGAATCATTCTGAGTATCACATACCGAAGCCTGGAGAATCTCAGGGGGGGTTGAAGCTCCTGGGCTAAGCCCAAGTTCTGTCTTGGGAAACTTGTTTAAGTACCCAGTTTCTCCAGCTTTGGGATGGGAATCCACGGGGTTAGTTGGAAGTCACATGAAGTAGACATGCCATGTGATGATCATGATTATGATGTCTGGCACGTAGTAGGTGTTCCAAGTATTGCTCTTAGAACTATTATGAAGCCTCTTCCAGTCAGTCACATCTTTGTTTATGATGGCATGCAAATGATGATATATTTGTAGGTAGGTGTAAACAATGATACATTTCTGCTCACGCAAAAACATTTGTCTACATTAACTGTCAACATCTAGTTATCCAGTGTGTATGGAAAATGCTCAGGAAGTAACTAGGAAATATCACATAGTAGGCCAAGAACTGAGGATCTGGTCCGTACTCTGAGGAAATCCATGTACAAAAATGTTACAGTAATTACCTAGAGTTACATGAGGGTTAATGAAAACATGATGAAAGGTACTTGTACATTTACCAAATCCTGTGAATGCCAGAAACCATCTCTCAATTTTTGGTTACTGGCAAAGATGTCTATTTTGTAGCTGATGAACCCTGTGGACTGCTAAGCGATCCAGAGGCAAACTTTGAGTGTTGGAGGTCAAGAGAACGTAATGCCATAGGATTTTCAGGACTCAGCCAGTGTGTGGTATTATTTCTATTTCTACCTTTACTCTCCCTTTGACCTTAGTGCTTCGCTCACTTATTCTGTCCTGTTACTGGGTGTGTCTGTTTTACGTTGTCACTAATCCCTTGTGGGGCAGTGGTACAGTTGATAAACAGACCACAAATCTGTGCTACGTCAGGAAGGCCAAGGAAGGGTTTGCAGGAAATGCAGATGGGAGCTGAGACACACGCTTGAAGGTGCCTTGGCCACACAGAACAAAGGGGAGATGACATTGCTGGCGTAGGGAACAGCGTGTGTGTGCAAAAGCATGGAATGAGTAGAAAGCACAAGAATTTTCAGAGCTGTGGGAAGGTGGCAATGTATGTGGCAAGGAGAGTTAGGCACTCGTATCAAACCACGAATGGCAAAGGACAAAGGAATACAGGTTTTAGTCTCAATAAAATCAGAACCCTTGAAACGTTCTGAGCAGGTGAGTGATACATTCAGATGTGTGTCAAAGATTCCTCTGGCAGTGGGCTCACAGGCAGCGAGCGATGGGTGCCCGTGGAGATGTGCTGAGTAGCAGTGCATTCAGGACAATGTCAAAGGCCTTCATTAGACCAGGGAGTGATAGCTCAGTTCTGGCTTTGACCACTGGTCAAGGAACATGGGAAGAGAACAGGGTCCATGTCAAGTGCCTGGAAGCCCCCAGTAGAGAAGTGCATTAGGCCAGCAAGTGTGGGTCCTGAAGCTCAAGAAAGAGAGGTTATTTGGATTTCTCTCATTTGTTTTTAATTTAAGCTTTATTTATCTGAAAGGCAGAGTTATAGAGAGATAGGGAGAAAGAGAAAGAGATTGATCTTTCATCTGCTGGTTCAGTTCCCAAATGGTCATAGTGGCCAGGGATGCGCCAGGCCAAAGCCAGGAGCTAGGAGCTCCATCCAGGTCTCCCACGTGTGTGGCAGGGGCCCAAGTACTTGAACCATCATCCGCTGCCTTCCTAGACACATTAGCAGGAAGCAGGATCAGAAGTAGAGCACCCGGAACTCAAACCAGCACTCTACCATGAGATGCTTTAACCCAGTAAGTGGCTTTTTGGATACTATATTTATGCACTAATCTGTTTTTTAAAGAGATTGAATGTATATGCAACTTTAGGGAAGCTGATGAAATGTGTAAAAACTGGCAAAGGTTCTTCACAATATACTCCCAACTGTATTTGAAAAGAGAAATAAGAGGGGCCTCCGCTGTGGCGCAGTAGGTTAATGCTCCACCTGCGGCACCGGCATCCAATATGGGCGCTGGTTCTAGTCCCGGCTGCTCCTCTTCCAATCCAGCTCTCTGCTGTAGCAAAAAGAAAAGAGAAATAAGAAAGACATATCTTTGGCGTTTCCAATTAAGGAAAAAAAAAAGACATCAAGTGTGATAGAAGGAATGCATTTGTAGGAGATTAATATAAGAATACTACATAAAATGTTGCACAAAAAAAGTGAAAACTTAGATGGAAACTGTGTTGTCTTTGCAACTCTTCTATAAGTATAAAATTATTTCAAAATTTAAAGTAAATAAGACTCTGATGGTTCCCTATTACCTTCTCAAGAAAGTCTAAATTCCTTACTCTGATAATAGATTTAACAACCAGCCCAGCTTCTCCTTCCAGCTTTATCTCCCCAAACCCCACTCCTGACACTTGATGTTTCAACATAGCTCTTCCTCATTTATGCCTGGAGTTCTTCTGACCACTCCCATACTCACGCTGGGAATGGTTAATGAAGTCCTGTCGCCTCCTTTTCTTCATGTCTGCCCAGCATCCCAGACTTCACGCAGGTGTCACATTCTTCATGAACTTTCTCTGGATCCACCTGCTAGAAATCACTCCCAACTCTGATTCCCCAAAAGCAGTTATGCTTGTTTCTCTACAAGTGCTTAATGTTTTCCACCTTATGCTGGAGTCACATATGTGCATGTCTTGTCTGTGTAATAAAATTGGGTTCCTCAGGGACAGCCTCTAAATATTTAGGCTTCCCATAACTCAAAAACTGTATTTTTCATATGATTTATGCCTAATAACGATTGTTGAATGAATACCCAAATGAATAACAAATCCCAAGAACAAATGAAGTTAATGTTTGTTCATTCTTGGGTATAATCAACTGTCAACGAAGATATTACTCCTAACTCTGCTAGGTAGCAAGACTAGGAAGGAAAAGTAACATTTAAAGTTGTTTTATTTCTATCTATGGTTAGAGTTTTAAATGTGAATGAATTTGAATGTATTGGTTTAAAAGAACATCTAGTTCTCTCTGGGTTTAATTTGTACATAATAACCACCGCCCTCATCCGCAAACTCCAACTTTCATGACCATGAATAAGCAGGATTTGGTTGTACTCACACCCAGGCATGCACAGTGTCTTCATATGTAACAAATACACTCATTATATGCTACCTAAAATGCAATGCATTTGACAGGTCAATGAATGGATCTAGAGGATAGGAGTCTAAGAACTTACAGAGTTTTTGTTTTTGTTACCTAGAGAATTATGAATTTCCACATCATCTCATAAATTTTGACCCCAAGTGATAGGATGTCCCTCAGGCAGCAGATTCAACATCCTCCTTGTGGTCTTTTCAAAAACAGAAAACAAAAGGGAAAGCTGAACTCTTCAGCAGGGGGCCTCTGGGTGATTTCTCTGACCACTTCAGGGTCTCCCTTTCCGTGTGTTTAAATCATCATATTTTAAGGTTCTCAAGGGGATTGCTAACATCCTTGCTTTAAAAGACCCAGAATTTCCTGAATCAAATATGTTTTGAAAATGTGTTTGGGTGGTTAGCTGCCAAATCTGGCCCCCTAACCAACCATTTGGCCTTCCAGAATGTGATTGTAGGAAGGAAAACCAGCGAGCAAAAAAGAGAAGGAAAATTCCTCCTATAGCAATGTCCTTACCCTTTCTTTGGTCAGTTTAGAAACCATCTGAAATGCTATTTTCACCATATAACATTTCATCATGTTTTTGCCAGCAGTTGGCCTGTGAGAGCCTAGATGCTCATTCCTGCAATGCCTTTCACATAATCCAATGTCACCCTTGTGCATTGCAAATCATTTCACGATGGATGATTAATGCCAAGACCATGTGCTGAGACGTGGAGAAACCATTATGCCAGCAGTAGCCTTCTCACTGAGCCGTGGACGTCACGTCCGATGGTGCCAAGTGATTGAAAATACTTGAAGTGGAGTACAGGACTGGAGGGCAGGACTAATCCCTCTGGTTTCAGGCAGTTTCACGAAAGCTGCCCCAGATTATACTCATTCATTCTTTAGAAAAGGGTATTCAGACTGGACTTGAGTTTTTTAGTTCATCAAAGGAAAGCAGTCCAGTCAAAAGCTCTGATGGACACAAACCACTGGTTTTTATACAAAGAAACCTCCCACTGAAATAAATGGGAGGCTTGTTTCCATGAAGACTAATTAAAAATTGTGAGGTCGTCTTGACACACAAACTCAAAAGGGAGAGAGAGAAACAGGAGAAGAGAGAGGCATCCAACCCTCACCCTGCCTTTAACCCGTGCCTTTGTAAACTTTGACACTATAGAAACAGGGAAGTGAAAATAGGATTTTATTTTCAAATATGTGAATGATAAACAAAATACTCTATTGCTGCAAAATTATCTTTTCCACATTGTCACACTGAAACACATTAGCACTTTTAATATTAGTACTGTCATCATGCCTTTTATGAAAGAAAGTGTCTTCTATTATGACAAGCTATAAGTTGAAATTCATGCACTTCGGACGTTGTCTCTTTATGCCACTTTGGTCCAGGCAGTTAATCCTTCCCGAGCCACACATCATGACCATGAAAACTTGCAGTAATTTCCATTTTTCACAATAAGAGCAACACAAGGGCCTTCGCATCAGCGTCTGGCTCCCCTCTTGGTGAACTCA